GCACATAGGTGAGCCTAGTTGTTGTAGGTTTTGTGCTTGACAAATTAACCGCTAGGTTTATTCCGCATTTGTTCAAGCCTAAACCGTAATTATTTTAAAGCGCCTATTCACCCCCTCTAGGCGACATCCTCGATCTTTCACCTGTCGTCCCCCGTCACCGTCGAGGTCGCGCACGCTTAATCCCCTCAGACGGATCTTGTCGTCGGCCATGTTGGCCCGTCGTCGCCCAAGGCACCATTGCGCCTGCCCGCAAGCGGCAGGGCAATGTGGTCGTGCAGGGTGGGAATCCGGCTGCCCCCGCCGGGAAGGCCCGCGCTCCGGGCGCCAATGCCGCTACGCGATCCCGTCCGATGACGGAGAAGGTCGGCAAGGTCTCAGGCATAAAGCGCAAGAGGATTCCAGCTACAAAGAAGCCGGCTCCTTCATCCACTCCCTCCGCCCCATAAAGAGGTTCCCCGGCGATGCCGCTCAATGGCTCTGCTTCCACCGCAAGCGAGGTGTTTGACGAAATGGCCGGAAGGTATGCCTTTTCGGTGCCTTCAATTTTCTTTGCTTTTCGCCATTGCGGTAGCTCATGACTTGTTTGTCGCTCGCTATAGCGGTTGTTCGAACAATGCCACTGCTGAGTTCGTGAACTTGTTGGACACCAATGCCGTTGACATCGATCAAGCCTCGTTCGCTGCATTCAATTACAATGAAACAGAGGGCAGCATGGATGATCACGGTGGTTAAGAAGAATTGGAGGAGATAAATGAGGGGGCGTATGAGCAAGCGCAAGCAAGAAAAAGCTAGAGATCAAAGAACTACACGATCTTGGAAGATCAAATCTTGATCAAGCCTTGGGGTGCGGTATCTCTTGATGCTTGCACATACGTCTCAAACCGCCAAGAGGTATTGGCAAAGGATCGAAGATCAGTACTTCCGCATGATGGCAAAGTATCCCAATAGGACCCCACGCACCTTTCGGTCACTCTAAGGGCGTTGGGATGTGATCAAGCCTATTTGCAGCCGTTGGGCAGCTTGCTTGGAACAAGTACGCAATGCACCTCCAAGTGGAACCGTGAAATCTGACTATGTGAGTTTGTTTTCACGTCCCAAGTTGTGCACATCATACTGCATCATATGAAATGATTACATCATTTGACTTTGTTCAAATTGTGCAGGCCAAAATTACCCAACAAAGATACAGAGACATGGAAGCTTCAGAAGGAAAATTCTTCAAACTAGAGCATTATTGGGACTTGCTCAAAGAGTGCGAGAAGTGGAAGTTAATTGACAAAGAATCCCCACCGAAGAGAGGTTCACTTATAAACATGAATGAAGATGAGGATGATGATGGCCCAAGAAACTTGAACAAGCCCGATGGTGACAAAAAGACCAAGAAGAAGATGAAGAAAGAGCACGAAGCATCGAGCTTGCGGGACAAGATTGATGTCATGGTGCAATCAAATGAGTTGATGTTAATGAAGTCATTGGAGATAAAGAAAGAGTTGGCCGAGAAGAAGTCACGGGAGAAGCAAGAAAAGTGGCAATTGCTCAAGGACGAGGGGCTGCACAAAGCGGCCATTGAGGAGAGAAGAGCACGTGCCGCTGAAAATAAAGCCATGTCCAAGTTGCTTGCCAAAGAGAACAAGATCATGACATTGAACCGCAATGACATGGACGACCTCACTAGAGAATGACATGATATGGCAAGAAGAAATATCTTGAAGAGGAGAATGCTTGCGTCGGCCAGTGCGTGTTACATTGTCAGAGTTGTTTTCTCAACGCGGTTTGGAACCAATGTCGCCGATGCGTTTAGTGCACCAGCCGATGATTTTGGTGCTGGAGTTGGAACAAGTGCCGGAGGTTTACTCGGTGGTTACGATGACCTCGATGGACTCGGTGGCTCGGAGTGAACATCGACCAAGATGATGTCGGACGTGGTCGTCACTTTTGCAAGACCCCCTTTTGCGTTTGTTCTACAAAACTAAGCTTTTATTTGCGTGTGAACTGTGTTCTACTGTTTGAATTTAAACTCATTTGTCGGAATCGATGTCAAATTCGATAATTGGGCGTCTTCGGTTTGCGGGTCGACGCGCAGACCCCGCATAGCCGACCCGTAAAAAAGCATATTCACCGAATATCCTTTTTTAGGGGTCCGTTTTGCGGGGACTGAGTCTGATCGCGCCCGCGCCGGCCCGCATATAACCTTTTCGTGAACTGCAAAAGCATTATGCGGGTTGGCGTTTTTTGGGTTCTGCTAGAGTTGCTCTAAGGCGCCGAACAGGAGCTCCCAAAAAAGAAAGCTAGCCGCGCCGCATAGCTGCCTTCTGCTTTGAGACGTCGGATAGCGACCTGACGGTCGTGGATGCGCGGGAAGGAAGAAAACCGCCGCCAACATCACTCCCCCACGAACCCTAGGGTTTTTTGATTTTATGCCCCTTCTTACTTTGTACTTTGACAATCTGCCACCGGTTACTTTGTAATTGATTTTTTGCCACATGTTACTTTGCACTTTGTTCTTTTGCCCCTGTTAGATGGGACCCATGGTGAAATTCCTAATTTGCACTTTGCAACCGATTGAGGATAGTATCGATCCCCATCGCCCGTTCCTCGATTTTGGTTTGCGGTACACACGGGAGATGGCAGCGCTCCGGTGGCCTTCGAAGCCGGCGACTACCTCCCGGTGCTGGCCTTCAAAACCACCCCACCAACCCTAGCTCCGCACCCCTACCCTCGCCACAACCATGGCGGACCGAGACCCCCCGCGGCTCCTCTGCGACCACCACGAGCAGCCAAGGCAGCGCATATAGGGACGTCCATGGCAAATTGCTCCGTGCATCTGCTCGCCGCCTACCCTTCCAGCCGTGCGCCGCTGCTCTCCGCCATCACGTCCAGCTGCTTGTCCCCGTCGCCTTGTGGTACTGCTGCTCGCCGCCGCCACGGGCTACTGTTGCTGCTTCTCGTCGGTGCCGCATACTGCTGCTGCTACTGCTCGTCACCGCTTCATGCAGCCGTCGCCGGGACCATGTCGCGGCTCACCATGGACACCGGGAGGTAGCCGGCGACCGTCGGGGACCACCATGTTCTGCGAGGTAGCCGCCGCTTCACTTTTTATTTGAGTTCTGGCATGCGTGGGCGTCAAATTGGCACACAAGGGCATACTTGCCCATCGTTTTGTCCATACAATATATCCATCATTTGCAGGAATTGTTTTTGTGTTAAAAAGTGGCAAAAATCAAATGGCAAACTAAAGAGTGGCAAAAGATCAATTACAATCTAAGCAGTGGCAAATTGTCAAAGTTCAAAGTAAGTAGTGGCTGGAAATCAAATCGCCCCGAACCCTATCCCCCACCCCCCCTTTCCGTTTCTCTCCCACGGCGGCGACCAGCGAGCGAGCGAGGCGGCGGCGACCAGCACATGCCGCAGCCGAGCAAGATGACGGCGCAGGCGAGTGCCTCTCGCTGGAATCGCGTGAGGCTTTGGCCTGCACGCGACTCCGTTGAGCGGTGCTCGTCCGTGACCTTTGCGAGTTTACCGTGTGCGTGCAGGCGTCCCCGCGACGGCGACAGCGCACTTCGCTAGCTCCGGCGCGGCGGCGAGCACCCGACGAATACAAGCGTGCGAGGAGGCATGGCCATCGGCCGGTGCGGCGGACGGCGAGTTCGGACCCGAGCTCACTCGCAGATGTTGGATGGTGCCCATGGCCGTGCCGTACGACAACGATGAGCGCCACAGCCCTGAGGTAAATGGCCGCCGCCCTCATACTCTTTGATTTAGGGTTATGGTGTCCGGGATTTCGCCTCTAGGGTTCCGGGTTTTGCTGAAATCTTAGGGGTTAACGAATTTGACTAAATCCCTTCTCATATACTCCCTCTGTTCCTAAATATAAGTCTTTTTAGAGATTTCAACAAGGGACTACATATGGATGTATATAGACATATTTTAGAGTGTAGATTCACTCATTTTGCCCCGTATGTAGTCTCTTATTGAAATCTCTAAAAAGACTTATATTTAGGAACGGAGGGAGTAGATACTTAGACCGAGAACCCTGGGCCCCTTAGCTCACTGATGCGGCACTTTAGCTCGTTTATATTCGACAAATAGGGCTAGTTACTTAGGTGACTTAGGGCTAAATCGAGACTTATTACTGCTTAAACATATGAACAACTTAAACAGGAGCATGAATCAATCGCTTGCGAAGACAAATTAGCATATACAGATAGCATCTGGGGCACATGCTTAGCATGAAAACATAAAACTTGATGCATATGTCCTTGAATGGAAACATGTATCCATGAATGGATCATCAGGGGATTCAATCTTAGAGCTAGATGGCTCTGATGTCATTTCCTTATATATGTGTATGGATTAGCACTGTGCACTAGGGGTGACACCTGGTGCTACAGTCGGTCGGTTTGCAACTGATCAAGGCAAAATCCGTCCTTTCTGTTTAGCTAATTATCTGTCAGGTTTAGTTTAGCCAGCAGATCAAACCAACACAAGCTTGACCGCTTTAGAATAGTTGAGAAAGAGATTTATATAATCATCTGTAGGTAAATAGAAGCCCATATGCAAGACCAGATACGTACCTTCAGTCTTAATTACATCAATGCTACACAGAAAGCTTTCAACTGTTAGTGAACCACAGAACATGCAACATCCATACGGATGGGTCCCGCTATTTTCTAGAGCACGCAACCAGTTCATGTATGATGTTAAGTGTCCGAAACATGTACGATAGACAATCAAAGGGATGTGCTGCACCTTGGGCATGTGCTGCATCAAGATGGGAAAATGCACCTCAAACAAGTACAATGCCTGAGACATGCATGAGCTTTAGACCTGAAATAGGGAAGACTGTACAGGCGACCGATCTTAATTTCACATCAATGATGTTAAAACCAACTAGCATTATTTTACTGCAAAAACACATACACGTTGTATATCTGATTATTTTCTTTAAGAGCGCATCCAATTGTTTGATCCATACAAACATGGTAAAATACAAGCAATCTTTATTTTTCTGACTGCACAGGCAAAGATAGATCACGAATCTCGAGTTTGAGTGGCTCATGGATAACTGCGTTCACTGTGCTAACCATCTCAGTTGGTGAGGAAAATGCATCAGTGTGAGAGTAGAAGAAGTGGCATATCTTGCACATGTTCCAAAACAGCTCCCTGCATGCCCTAGGAACAACACTATCTTCCTTAAGGACCAACCTCAGCAAGTCTTTTCTACACGAGGCTACAGATCTCCTTATTGACTCTTTAGCCGCTTCAATGGACATAGAACCGTCACTGTGGAGAACACGTAGTGAAACACTATCGAGTTTTCCCTCGCTGCTCTCCCTCTGTATTAATAGTAGACCAAAAATCTGTCAGAATAGCCCAACTACAACTTAAAGGTCTAAAGTGGCTTACAGAGATATGAGTAATTACTATCTTCTCAAATATTCACGACATGAACACGGTATGCACAAAAATCAGGTACTTGATTTCTAACTCTCAAAGTGAATATGGGACTTGCATTGTTCTGTGCTCTAAATAATACCATGAATGGCTGGAAATCTAGATTTTTGCGAGGATTACTATTTACTATGACGCCTCTAGTCATACCAAGTATTTGTATATATAAATATTTTTCGTGTAGTGATATCTGAAGCCGTATGTGAAAAAATGATATGCTTACAGAGCTATACCAAATTGGAAGACACAAACTTTAAGCCATAAAGGGGCCGAAATACCTCAAAGCCTTGAATGTCGTTGAGGAGTCGGCAACAAGTGCCCATTAGCCTGAATAACTCATTGTACTCTTGACCATTCACAACAGATGCCAAGAGTGTTTGCCCGACAAAATATGATGCTGGGAGCAGAATGGGAGCCAATGTGAATGATACAATTGCAGTTTCCATGTACTCTTCGACTGTCGGCACATATTGTCTCATCCGCCAATCTGCGTCGGTTATCATAGTCCCCAGTAGTTGTAGCCACTACACAAGATTTGCAACATTTCAATGCTAAGCACAATAAAATTCAGAATCATTCAGACTCACGGGAAACTCACAATTTCTATTAGGTGCTTTTTGACGTCACGGTCTTGTACAAATGAAGCCATTGTTCCAAGATGGTTCGTTGTAGTGTAAATGGCATAAAACAATATTTTTACTTGCTCAGAGTAGAATTCGTCTTTGGAGTGCTCATCCCACCTAAAGACACGCATTAGCAAATTAGGCAAAATGACTTGTTAGAACAGCAAGACATCGTCATAACACTACTTTATAAAATGAAGGAGAAGGTTTCTCAGCATCTTTAGATAGGAAAATGCCATCAGTGGTGCTAAAAAAGGACATATAAAGAGATCAAGTTGACGAATCGTACTTCTCGAGTAGTGTTACAAGGTTTTCTAGTTCTTCTCTTGACCCCTCAATATCGAAGAAGTCATCAACAATATTTAAGAGTATAGAATTTTTGGCCCATGAAATGCGAGCATCAGACAGTTCAGGAGGGAACATGGTAGCCGCAGCAGCAAGATAGCAAAATGTTGTCCTCTGTCGTGCAAACAGTAGCTGGTCTAGCCTGGTCTCCTTCACCCAACTGTTGCAACAAAGAAAATTTGAAAATTCTCTAAGAAAGGAAGTTACTAAGACTAGAGAACATAATTATCAAGTTACCGTTCAAGAAGCTGGAGTTCATCCTGGTAAATAGATTGAGAGAAGGTGAAATCTTCAATAGCCAAGGCTAGAATATCTTGGTTTACACAACATGGCCTGATTTACCAAAATGTTAAAATTTGGTATCTAACATCTACTTATATTTATATGATTCAAAGTTGACAAGTGTTTTAGGAAATAAAACTTTACAATTGTTCTGTCTTCAACATCTGCGAACCCCTCAAATCAAAGTTTTCAATGTTCCACTTCTGATCCAGGCGTTCCATTGTGGCATAAAAGGGAAATTTAAGAGCATACTCCACCTGAAATTACAAAAGCATACAAGTAAACATAAACTGTACCCTAATTAAATATAGGATCAAATCATTTTTTGAGTTCTAAATTTGATGCAAGCACCTCTGCAAAGACCGGCCTACTTTGCACGCCGTCATGGATTAATTTTTCCCTTAATAAGTTGCTTGACCAGTGTCTAATATTATCAAGAATAAATTCATTTTCTTCTACACTGACTGTTGATGCCTTGTATAATTCCAATATAGATTTTGTATCATTTAAATACCCTTGAAGTGAATTATGAAAAGTGGAGGCTTCATCAACATGACGTAGCTCATCTGCATCAGATTGAAATTAGTGAATTAATTAGTTAAAAAATACAAAAGGTAAAATAAATAAGATAGGAAATTCCGCCCAATGAAGTACCTGAGGAAACGTCATATCCATTCATCCGTAACTGACGAAACGCCATTGCGCATGTCGCTACATCCAGCATGATTTCCTCATCTCTTTGTACCCACAAACTGTAAGGTGGGCACAGTCAAGTTTACAAGCTACAAAAACTAAATGTCAAATGTTTATTCATGGTCACTACCTATATGTCATGTTTAAGATGGTCTTTATCTCACTACAAAAATGGTGAGATATCCCGATCTTTTCAAGAGAATCCACCATTGAAAGCTGGCAATATACATTTGTCGGGTACACTGTTGGTACTGCAAAATTCCAATTTTGTGAGCTATATAAAAAGTTTATGCCCTTGCAAATTCTTGATGAGAAAATATACAAAAACCCACCTGAACTACCACATTTACTAACAAGCAAGTTCAGGTACTGGAGGGCTTTGTCATCATAATTGTGGATTAAAGCAGCAGCAGTTGCTGAAGGAGAGTTGAACAATGATCCATTATTCCTCTGGAACTTGATAAGTTCATTCCAGTCCAGCGGGACTCCTAACCCTTCAGCAACATAAGCCATGTATGCTTCTCTTCCATCAGATTTATCCCCAGCAAGTCTGTATTAATACATTTTTTCAAAATGTTACTAGCATGTAATACTCAAATTATGAATGCTATTTTAATTTCATTGGTAAGAAAAAAGACGATACATTATGCTCATTCTACTATACTTTGAATCATGGAACTTCAAAAAGTTTCCAAAAAATAAAAATAAAAATCAGCTTAATAAAAAGAAAGAGATAAGAAGCAAATCAGCCAAAAGAAATTCCATTCACACTACTAGCTGCGTTCGAGTAAGAACCAACTATCCTAACCAGAAATAAATGGGAAAGGAATGCATGCATGTGCACATTTTTGTGCCATAATTGTCATTTGACAAACCTTTTCAATTCCATCTGCCGGACGTGAAGAATCCCATCAACATCAGTTTGTCTCGCTGGAAATTCCAAGCCCATTCCAATGGCTTGCCTAATCATACCAGGAAAAGTAATATTGAAACCTATAGGAGTAGCAATCTGCTCATCCATAGAGAAGGAGAATTTTTTTCCAATAAAATGCAGTCCTGTTTCGCAAAAGGAAAAATATAGTTATGTCAGTATAGACCATTTTATCTCAACAAAAGTTGTTAGATCGTATAAACAGAAGATAATAAAATGACACAACCCTAACAAGTATTCCCTCCGTTCCAAAATAAGTATAATTTGAACTAAAATGACGACACTTATTTTGGGAAGGAGGGAGTATATTTTTTCCCATACCTCTCCTGATGTGTTCCGGGCCAACATTCCATTTCTTGAGTGCAATAACACACGCCAATGTGGATAAGAGAGTAGACTTGTCGGGTGACAAGTCAAATTCGCTGATGCCCCAAGAACCATTATCCTGTTGGCTTTGCAATATCCATTCAAGGCACCGAGGGAAGTGTGGAGCACTAGGGAAATCCCGCAAGGGCACCATAGCAACCCATGCTGTGTCGTACGGAGATGGTGTCAATTCAGGATTCTGAAGCTGCTTCCTTATTCTAGCCTCCCGTTCCTAATTTGTATGCAACATTTGATGCTTGTATTTAGTTCAGGCCGTAAAATCATCAGCGCAGCCTCACACATATTACTGGAACATTGATTCATACCTTGTTTCGCAGGCCTGCATTTTCTCCTACCAAACTCTTCTTCGCTGTTTGAAGAAAAGGAGATTTATGTCACACGTCAATTAGATGCTGATCTTTCGCTGTCTCTACTCTCGGAACAAAAAGTTGCGACATGAACTGGGGATTCTTTTAACAAAAAAGATCTTTGAAGCTGCTTGTAATTTAAGACATACTAATAGTGTATTTCTTTTAGATGTAAAAAACCAAGTGAGAGGTCTCCTTTAAAAAATTATATACTTATATATTTTGAGATTTTTTCAGAGCCAAGGAGCCACTGCTCCCACATGGGTGTGTCGATCCCAAATTCCAGCGGCGTCAGTATTGGTGCTAATATGCGGTGTTTCCTATTCATGTATGGTCCAAGATTCTAGTGTACAAAGCCTATTCTTTTATGGATCGGCCCTGAAACAAAGGCTAAATAGTACTAGGAGCATATCCTCTGCATGTTGAAAATAACCTACAAATATATAAGTATACAGGAAATTATACATGTATATGTTCATATGCGTTGATTATCTGTAAAAATTAATAAAAATGTACCATGACTTCTGTTAAAAAAGGCGAAGTGTCATTTTTTTGCTTGTTTTGGAGCACTGGACTTTGTCTTATTTTCCCCACAGAAAGCATAACTATTCATTTTTGCATTAAAAGTTGCACGAACATACCATACTCTGAACATGTATACACTTTTTAGAATTTAGTTTGATATTTTTTTGATTTACTGTTCATTCAGAGCATATGCTCCCACGAGCTAAAGTGCCGCCCTCCGAGATAGATTGCAAGCCCTTTCTCTTCTCGGCTATCATGGTATCACTTGTTAAATTGTGTATGTACAGTAATTTTCTTTTGCGGAAAATGTACACTGACAACTGATAATTGGCCTGTTAATTCCGTGGGTTGTGCACTAAATAGCCCGACCCTAAAATCCCAAGGCCGGCCTTGCCTAGTATGAAAAGTAAAAACGATAGCATTTTATATTTAAAATATTAATTAAATGATTTATATATTTTTCACTTAAACCCTTCTTTTAAGGCATTTTAGGCTTTATAGAGCTTTTGGGTCATAAACTGAAGCCCAAGCCGGTCGAACTGTCGAGCTTCAGGCTCGGGCTGTCAGCTCGGGTTGCCCATGCCCAGATTTTAAGTGATAGCTTGCGAACAAACATGTCACAAAACCTCACAAATAATTTTACTTGAAAAAAAAAGTCATATACATAGATTACCAGCACTTGTCAAATGCAGCTGACTGTACTAATAAGATATGCAACGGCAATGGAGAGTGGAGCCGGACCGCATGGTTTGAACAACACAGTATTTCTCCACATTCTTAAGTAAGCCTTCACATGTTTGTTTTTATAATAAAAAATATATTTGTAAATTGGTTATGTTATTTCTGTGGCTCATTGAGAAATAACTATTTCTCTATCTCAATGGTGAGAATCTGATCTTAATATACAAGTAGATACGGATGTAAATTAGTCACTCACTGCTGACAGCAATAATTCCAACTAGAGGTGCGACGGGTCACTCTCTTCCGAAGGTGACGAAAAAGGAACGAGCAAACCAGAGTTTCTTACCTAAAGCGGAAGTTGCCATCGTCCGCGTCCTCCTCGCGCTCATCGAATAGGGAGGAGCACGGCAATGGTCATGGGGGAAGAACTCGGGGCGGTGTGCTCCGGTGAGACCATGCTCGGCAGCACGGGCCGAGGCAAGGCCAAGAGGCTGGTTTCTTCTGTGATGGTGTGAGTGAGACAAGTTCGACACAAGCGGCGATACCGCAGCAGGCCGGAGGCGATGTCCAGCGATGGCGGAACAGGTCCCGGCGGCTATTCTCGCGGTCGCCATGGGGATGGTCGATCAGCTGAACCAGAGAGCAGTGGAGGGAAAGGTCGATGCGTCGTCTACATATTTATACGGCCACTAGTGCTAGACATGGCATGCAGATGCAGGATGCAGCGCAGTAGCTTAGAGGCGGCTAAATGGTGCTGGTGTCAGCAAGCGTAGTGCGAAAGCGTCTCGCGTTATGTTTTAAACTGCATATATGACCGCGTGGGTATGTTCAAGGAAAATTTGTCGATTATTTATAAGTACTGTATTTCGAACTGCCTGCCGTGCGGATTTGCTGGTGCATGCATGCCACCAAGTGTCTACCTGATGCATGCAGATTTTTCTCCTCTTCTAACAACGTGCTACGCTAAAGCCAAAGAAATTGAAGCATCGACCTGGATACGAAACCCGATCTGTAGCCCCCCTCTAGTACTGCTGGCACTTGCAAAACTCTACAAACATTCCCTTAATTGCTCCGAGCTTTCTAGTCTAGGAATACAATTCTAGGTCAACACACTTAGCACCTCACGGGTTTCAACCACGTGTTTGGACTGCAGAGCCAGATAACACAATTCCAGGTCAAACATGCACTGACCGCGGCATCACGTGCTGAACACATTGACCCGGCCGCAGCAACATGTGTTTCCGTGAGACGACATATCATTCACCTTAGCTCCTCACGTGTTTGGTGAAGGGAACCCATTGGTAAATACAGTACTTCGTCAACAAAAAAGAATACGACCGCATAGCCAGGGAACACCATGCTCCTGTAGTCCTGTGACCAGTGCAGCTTGAAACTGCAAGCACTAAACCATGGGAAAAGGTAAATCTAAGGGCATCTCCAACCTGGACCCATAAACCTCCTGCAACCGTCCGGAACGCGTTGTCCGGGCCGCGGAAGCCATCCAACACCGACCTTTATCGGTCCGCGGGGCGGTTCGGACGCGATTTCTCCTGCAAACCGGAGATAAAAATGGGGAGGTTTGCGGGAGTCTAGACCGATCCCAAGCCCGCTTCTGATCGCTCCGGCCCACCAAAAACCCGTCACCCTGTTGGAAATATGAGCAATTTACCGAATGATTTTATTAACAGAAATACTAGATAAAGCATGACTAGTATAGCAATGATAAAACAAGCCATGCGATTTGACAAAGAGAAGGTAAATAGTATCTGCATATATGAGCTAGAACCGATCATCTCTAGAACAGACAGTAGATGAAGATGCATATATGAAGTAGAGCCTAACATGTCTAGGGCAAACACTAGAACAAGGAACTGTTGCAGGACTTCTAACAGGAAAAATAAGAACACGTACGGGAAAACAGCAGGAGCAGAGGCACTGGACTTGGGGTCGGTGTCCTCCATGTCGTCGAGGAGGTAGTTGACGTCGGGGAAGTAGTCATCGGAGTCCCGGGCGTCCGTGACGAAGAAGTCAGTAGTCGCGCTGAGCGCTCCCCAAAAACCTTATCACCCTTCTCCCGTACATGAATCAAAAGGTGCGGTTTAGGAGGCCTACTGTCCCGCCCTACGGTGCACGCCGCAAGCCGGGATGGGGAAGATTGTAGCAGCAGCGTAGTGCTCAGGAACTTTGTGGCGAGAGGAAGAGGACCTTCTGATGTGTATCTCTGGAGAGGAGCGACCTCTCTTATATAGGCACAGGAGAGGGACGCGAACAGGCTGCGACGGGAGGTGAAGCAATGGAGGGAGACGAAGTGAACAGGTAGCACGCGAAGAGGTGCACCGTTCGTATTCATTCTCCACTATAGCAAAATGTTTCAGCTCCCGTGTGACCGTTCGTATACCCGTCGTGCGTGGCAAAAATTTGGACATCGGCTCGGCTCATTTCCGCAACCCGTGGCGCGTCGTGGCGAGGCGTGGCGGGCGGCGAAGGAGGAGCGCGTGTGGATGTCCTTCTTGTTCTAATGCTCATACAAGTGGGGAAAGAGCCTCCCTTATAAAGAGGTCCAACTCCCTCTAAACTAGCAATGTGGGACTAAACTTTAGTTCCACCTCTTGCCTTGCATGAATGGGCCGCGTGGGCCTCTAGGATTTATTAGGAATTTTTGAAACTGCTATTGGGCTAGGCCCAAAATAGACAAAATTCCAGCAAACCACCACCAGATCTCAGAGGCACACAAAATCTGCCTTTGGTTCCAAAACACTATTTTATATACCGGTACTACAGTGGAGACTGTTAAGTTGAACTTTCACCTAGAACTCTATGCTACACTAGTAAGCAACTTGAACAGTGGGCTGGGCCTTGAACTGCAAGTTTTCTGCGAACCTAGCTTCACACAAAGCCTTGACCGATACGTGGCTACCGTGGGTCTTCCCCGCGGGTGGAGCTTATGCGTCATACTTCGAGACCTTTCATGAGTTTACTGGAGAGAACCCTACTCTCATAGATTGCGATGTTTAACAATCAGACTCATATAGGTGCGTTCTTCAAAAGATGTTCTGCAGGGCAACATCTCTGCTTCAAAGAGCCACTTAGAACACATTAAGATATACATCAACCTGCCATGCAGATTTAGGAGAGTATTGCATCTTCATGGAATGGTATTTTTAATAGTAAGGGTACTCTCCTCCTTGTTGACCAACAACTTGTCTTTCACATCTAATTCACGGGATCTCCGATCACAAAGAATAGGTTACCACTGTGAACAACTCATATTGTGGGTCTCATACCCATCTCCCTCGATGCATTATCTATCACATTACGTGATAGACCCTTAGTAAAAGGATCCGCCAGATTTTTAGACGTTTGGATATAATCCAATGCAATAACTCCGGAGTTTCTCATTTTTTTGACAGACTTTAACCTTCTCTGAACGTGTCTTGATGACTTCATGTTATCCTTTGAGCTGTTCACTTTCGTGATCACAGTTCGATTGTCGCAGTTCATAAGGATACCCAGTACATGTTTCTCAACAACCGGCAAGTCATTCAAGAGCCGGCGAAGCCAATTTTCTTCGACCGTAGCTGTATCTAGTGCTGTGAGTTCTGCTTTCATTGTTGACCTTGTTAAGATGGTCTGGTTGCAAGACTTCCAAGAAACAGCGCCACCTCCATGAGTGAATACATATCCGCTCGTGGCCTTTATCTCATCAGCATCTGAGATCCAGTTTGAGTCACTATACCCTTCAAGCACCTTTGGGTGTCCAGTGTAGTGAATTCCATAATTCGCAGTGCCTTTCAAATAACGCAAAACTCTCTCTAGAGCTTTTCAATGCACATCTCCTGGTTTTGAGACAAACCGTCTCAGTTTGCTAACAGCAAAAGAGATGTCAGGTCTTGTAGCACTGGCTAAGTACATAAGCGAGCCAATAATATGAGAATATTTCAATTGGTCTCTAGCAATTCTTTGATTCTTTCGAAGCAACACACTAGCATCATATGGTGTTGGAGAGTGCTTGCAGTCACTGTAGCCAAAGCGACTCAAGATCTTTTCCACATAGTGAGATTGAAGCAATGTAATCCCACCATCATCATCTCTCAACAACTTGATGTTCAGAATGACATCGGCCACTCCTAAATCCTTCATCTCAAAGCAGCGAGATAGGAAATCCTTGACCTCCTTAATAACATTCAGATTTGTTCCAAAAATCAGTATGTCGTCAACATACAAGCAAAGCATAACTCCTTCGCCCCCACCATGGCGATAGTACACACATTTGTCAGCTTCGTTCACAACAAAGCCTGTAGCTATTAAAGTTCTTTCGAACTTCTCATGTCACTGTTTGGGTGCTTGCTTGAGTCCATACAAAGACTTCAGCAACTTGCACACTTTCCCTTCCTGACCATCTGTTACAAACCCATTTGGTTGTTTCATATAAATTTCCTCATCCAACTCTCCATTCAGGAAAGCAGTCTTAACATCCATTTGATGAACGAGAAGACGATGTGAGGCAGCTAGTGAAAGTAGAATTCGAATAGTGGTCAGTCGAGCCACAGGTGAGTAAGTATCAAAGAAATCTTCACCTTCCATTTGGGTATAACCCTTAGCCACGAGCCGAGCCTTGTACTTTTTAATAGTACCATCAGGCCTAAGCTTCTTCTTGAATACCCATTTGCATGCTATAGGTTTGCACCCATAAGGACGATCAGTTATCTCCTAAGTTTCATTCGTCAAGATGGAATCCATCTCGCTACGAACTACTTCCTTCCAGTAGTCAGCATCTTCAGATGCACAGGCCTCTGAAATAGAACTGGGAGTGTCATCTATGAGATACACAAGAAAGTCATCACCAAAGGAATTTGCAGTCCTCTGTCTCTTGCTCCTAGTAGGAGCTTCATTGTTTTCCTCCACAGGACTTTCAAAGTGTTTCATCGAAATGGCAGGTTCAGCAATTGTAACTGGTTCCTGATTCGATGAACTAGGCATCTCCTGATTAGATGAGGTAGCCGTATCCTTCATGAGAAAGATATCTTCAAAGAAAGTCGCATCATTCGACTCCATGATCGTACCGACATGCATGTCAGGTACCTTAGATTTTATAACCAAGAATCTATAACCAATGCTATGAAAAGCATATCCCAGGAAAACACAATCCACAGTTTTTGGTCCCAGCTTCCGCTTCTTTGGAATTAGCACATTGACTTTCGCCAAACAACCCCAGGTTCGTAGATAAGAGAGCTTTAACCTTTTCTTCTCCCATTCCTCGAATGGAGTTATCTCTTTGTTCTTTGTGGGAACTCGGTTTAGGACATGACATGCAGTCAATATCGCCTCCCCCCACCATGCCTTGGAGAGACCCGATGTGTCTAACATGGCGTTAACCAAATCAGTTAGAGTATGGTTCTTTCGTTCGGCCACCCCATTTGGCTGAGGTGAATAGGGAGGCGTCCTCTCATGGATTATACCATGTTCCGCACAAAAGGAATCAAATTTATTTGAGAAATACTCTCCACCACGATCGGACCTAAGCCTCTTGATCTTTCGATCAAGTTGGTTTTCCGCTTCAGCTTTATAGATCTTGAAGTAGTTCAAAGCCTCATCCTTAGATTTCAGAAGATAC